GACCACATCGACCATTGAAAGGAAACATCATGCGTGCTAATTTATTTGGGAAGTGTGCCAAATTCATTTTTGGAAATAAGTGATGATCGGACATCATCATGTGTGCTAAATTCATTTTGGAAGTGTGCGAAATTCATTTTGGAAGTGTGCGAAATTCATAGGGATTTAGGGACAAAGCATTTTATAGACAATAGAGATTTTACTTAAAGGGTTTGAAGAAAGGGTCTGGGTAACAAAGCATTTCTCACTTGAATGACCAATAGGAAACAAGGGTTTGAAAAACAATGATTTGGATAGACAATGGAGTAAGGGAATAGGGTCGGGAGTGGAAGAGAGAGTCACTTATTCTTTAGCTTTTGGACAAGACAGTAGCTGGGCAGATTCTGGTTCTTGGATGTTCAGTTAGTCTTCAGATTTAGTGTAGACCTCTTGTTAGTTTAATATAGTGTAAATAAATAATATCTTAGCTGTTATCTCATTTGGAAAGTAAATTGATAGCCGATAGCAGTCCGTATCCAGTCTCTTACATACGACTATACCGTTTGCAAGTAGAACCCGACAACAACCCCGTTGCATAATTATTGAAAAAAAAAATAGGTAGTTAAGCTAATGAATTACTGTCTGATGTTGGTAAGTGAGTTATATATTGCTCATTTGGTACAAAATATGAGATAAAGCATTATTTTTATATGTGATTATGATTTCTTTTCTAACATTTTTGTTATAGGGCTATTATATCAAAAAAACAATTCTACTAAGAATACGCCATTATGATTTTTATTTTATCTCCTCAGATGATATCGAGAAAGACAAACCAACAGCCCAGAGTGAAACTTATCGTCAAAATGACGAGAAATATGGTTCACATAGAGCTGTAGATGGAGACCCCAACACGTTTATGAGTACAAGTCGAGGGACTCCTATATGGTGGTGCGTGGACTTACTCAAGATACATTCCATGCGCTTGATTCAAATTATCAATAGGAAAAGTAAGCATAGATTAATATTTCCCCTGTTACATTTTTTAAATACGTAGCTTTCTTAAAGCCATGGTTCCCCTTTTTCGGGGGTTGATTTTTGAATAAATAGAAATAATCTTCATAACTATTAGCACTGCATGAAATTCGTTGTTACTGTTAGTTTTTCCAGTTAATGAATCGTTTTTTCGATTTTGTATTCTGTTTTTGAAATATTATATGAACTGTTTTACTATTATTCTTCTTTTGTAGTTTTATCTGATCGGATAGAACGTTTTCGTTTGAGTTTTGTGATGACTGAAAACTGTGATAACTGATGACTCTTATATTCTACTTGGCACCTCTTTAACTTATATACTCGACAACTCGACTTTCGTATTTCGGCAGTACTTATTCGTATTATCGAGCTACTATTAGCTTTTCAAGTTAATAAATCGTTTTTTCGATTTTGTTTTCGTTTTTTAAATAATATATAAACTGTTTTACTATTATTTTTCTTTTGTAGATTATTCTGATCGGATGAAAGAGTTTCGTTTGAGTTTTGGGATGACTGGAAACTGTGATGAAGCTGGTCTCGATGATTCTATTGAGTGTTATCGTGATATTGGTACAGATCAGCCACATTGCGATATAACAAAATGTACATCAGGTACAACCCCGGCTGAGATGAGAGCCCGGTTTATCTTCATTCGTCATCAGAATGTTCAATTTTTAAATTTCGCGGAGCTCAACATTCTTCTCGATTATTTCGACAGTTCAAACTGTAGCTCTACTGTATAAAATCCCTGAGTTAATATTCTCATTTCTATCTTCATTTTCACACGCATAGAATTTCCACTTTTTAGGATTTTAGATGTGTCATGGGCTATGAAAATCGTTGATGTATTCACAAATATCAAGGATGTTAAGTTGGACAGACAATCTCATTATCTCTGTTATATCAAGTGATATCTCGACCGGAAGTTAAGAGTCGCGCTTAAGAAGACACAACGATATCTACCATTCATTATCGAGACAGATTCAGCTTTACGGAAACTGCCTAAGATTACATAACGTACATCCACTTATCACCCCTTTCTGTACTATTTTCTGTCACATTTTCCTATAAAAATTTCTGCGCCCCTCTGTTAAAATAAATTCATTATTTTCCTGATTATTTTCCTGAATAAAAATGCAATTAACTATTGAAAAACGCTGAATATTCTGATTAAGCTTTTTACAATAATCACTTAGTTTTATGAAATTTCCAATTTTCTGGATTATGTTGTAAATGTAACTTTATGACACCAGGTAATTTCACTGATGAATATATACTCACATTGGCCATTCTTGAGAATTAAATTTTATGTTCATTCTAAGACGTAGTATCAATTTATTATTTTCCTGATGACAAATTATTAATTAGAAGAAGAATTAGAAGAGACGACCTTTCACTAATTAGTGTAGTAACTAATGATTAATTATTATGAAATACCACAAAATAATTATCTGACTGTGGTTAATTGGTTTCGTACGTATATTGGAATCAATCTATTCTCTTAGACGGAAATTTATTATTATAAAACTATGGTGTATTTTCTTGTCTAACGCGTGATATCAAATCAATTTTTCAACCAAGTGTTGTAAATCTACTGAAATATAAACATATCGAATGTAGGCCTATTCTGTGCAGTGTTCATGGAAATGGATTTTGATTCTCAGTTTCTTTGCATTTGCTGAAATTTGAGCCTTCAAATCCATGTGTGTTCAGAATTATCTGCGTTTGAATGTTGAAATGACGACTGGTCAATTTAAGATACTCTGTGATATATTGAAATGACATATATGGAAAAAGTGAGCAAAATTCCCTGTTTGCAGTATTTTTAAAGAAATTATGCGATTTTCTTACAAGTTTAGTGCATCTGAAGACTATTTACATATATTCAAGACTAAAATCAACCCATCAAAATGGCCAATGTCCCTTTAACCGAAGATCATACCGTGTCACCGAGAATTGAAAAAATTGTAAACAGAAATATCGTATACGTGTGCAGTAGATCCCTTTGAAACGATATGACTTGAATCACAAACCTAGAATTTCAGAGCAATTTAACAATTAGTTACGAATAGACAATCCCGTAACGGATGGCAAGACAGAGAGAACCACGTATAAGTATCATAGTTTAAACTGTCAACCGTCGACATAAAACTTTAAAGGGACAGATGCGCCATTTCGAGGGATAGATTTTTCAAACTAGGAATTTCTTTGCCTATTTCTATATATGTATTACTGATTGGCTTAGCTTAAAATTCCACGTTTCTGAGACTAAGGTATGATTGGTCAAAAGAATGGCGCCTCAGTCCCTAACAATTTTCCTCATACCAAATTATAAAATCGTTTCAGAAAGATATATTTTTGTATAAATAAGTAACAGAAATAACTTAATTTAATACACTGTGTATTTTTTTTTAAAAAAACATTGACATTTTCTTTATTATGGAAACACAACCATTGGAATTCTGTATTTGTCGGCTGCTTTTGCTTGTCTTCGGTCGTGAAAAGACATATCAAGTAGATCATGTAGATACAAAGATGTAAATAACATATTTTTGAAATATTTCTGCACACTGCCCTTTAATTAGCAAATTACGAGTTAATGATGAGACAAACTGTTCAAATTCAAATTTAGACTAGGTGAATTAGAAAGATTTAAAGCAAAAGTTCAAAGCCATCTTTTGTGGCAGTCAAAGAGAGACTGGGTGATAGATGCTGGATTTTCCCAATCATAAGAACACTTCTACTATTTATTGATGCAAGTAATTTATGACAATAATCAGATATATCATATATTAATATGAATAAATAAAAACAGTTGAGACAAAGTTTAAAAGAAGATCTTGGCCGCTTAACTGGTAATACGACAATGTTCAACCTCCTGTACCTAATCAGAAACACTTAATATTTTTATCATTTTCAGAATATTACACGCTCAGTCTGTTATAAACTATTTCAATATATTTTAGTTCATCAAATATTCAATATTTATACTATTGTCATAGCAATGAGACTCTTGTTAAATTTTCTGCATTTTTGCAAACAAAGTCAAGTTTTATTGTGAGAGTGTATAGAGTGTAACGGAGAATATAAAACTTGGTGAACTGTAATAGTTACCTGTTCTACTGTCTACGTGTACGTTAAAATGGAGGGAAGAAACATCAGTTCAACTGATCCGCCTAGTTGATAAGAAATTAAGTCATGGGACATACATTGTGTCGGGATTGTTAACAGCTGCTATCAAAGACAACACCTGTAAGAGTCTTATCCTTGGTTGATTTCTTCATCAAGTGTTCCACGACCATGTGTAACTTTTGTCTCAAAATTAAACTTTATGGAATTTTTGACACCAACTCAGCAGAATATTTTTAGAATATTTTTAATAATATTATCGGTAGAATTTCCTGGATTTTGCACATTTCTTTTTAGAATCAGCTCTTAATTTTCGTGGTCATGCTAAACAGTTTATGTAATATACCAGCATCAACAAAATGAAGCAACAATTATATATCATATACCTACTGTGTTTATCGTTTGAGGTATTCAGTGAAAGAACCATTTTGTTCCCCATATATTCGAGAGATAAGCTGTATAACGACTATTTTATGGTTTATATGAATATAACAAATTCATTGTTTTGTACAATGAAATGTCTCAGAGACGTGGAAACACCTTGCCTATCTTTTGCCTACAACGTACAGGATCAAAAATGTTATCTGTATAGCCGTGTACTACTAGAAAACGACTATGTGATATCAAGTGGAATTGTGACATATGTTCCAGTATTTGGTAAGAATTTTTATAACTCATATTAATGATAATGTTTTATCTTTTAAGTCCCAGTATGAATATTTGTAATAATATATATTATCTTCATAAAACAAAGCTCGTAATACCTTGACCATAGTGAAGATGAATATTAGATTAAATTAAAAACAACTTTTAATTGATCTTAAAGCAATCGAGTGACATATATTTCAGGATTTCAACTAGATACTGAGTATGGGTCACTTCAATGTTCGTGGAACCTATTGAACACAAAATTGAAATTTCGCTCCAACTGGACCAATAAGAGTATATAATCACTAGTGGACTTACCAGGTGTAATAATTATACAACAGAATCTCTGTATAATACGCTAAATCTATAAATCTAAGTAATTATTGACAAAGGGGGTACTAAAGCTAATGAATTGCTGTAAATGAGTCATTATAGCTGATTTGCTACAAAACATAGGACACAAGCATTCTTTTTATGTGTGATTATGATTTTTGCTACAATACTTGTCATAGTAATATCATCTAAAGAATAATTTGACTAAGAATACGCCATTTTTATTTTTAATGTATCAGATGATATCGAGAAAAACAAACCAACAGCCCAGAGTGAAATTTATCAACAAAATGACGAGGAATATGGTTCACATAGAGCTGTAGATGGAGACCCCAATACCTCTATGAGGTCAAGTCGAAAGCGTCCTATATGGTGGTGCGTGGACTTAGTCAAGATACATTCCATGCGCTTGATTCAAATTATCACTACTAAAAGTAAGCATAGATTAATATTTCCCCTGTTACATTTTCTAAATACGTAGGTTCCTAAAAGCCATGGTTCCCCATTTTCGAGGGTTGATTTTGGTCTTGAATAATGGAAATAATCCTCAGAAATATTAGAACTGCATGAAAATCGCTCGTTGGGTGTCATGCATGGTGATTTTCTCCAACCCACGAACACCAACTCGTTGATATTTTATTGGTTCTGGAGTCCCATGAATTTACCTATAGAAATGTCCTGGCGTATCTTTTAATATGGGATCAAAAAATTTCAACTGGTAACTGATAACTCTTATATTCTACTTGGCAACTCTTAACTTATATACTCGACAACTCGACGTTTGTATTTCTGCAGTACTTATTAGTATTTTCGAGTTACTGAAAGTTTTTCCAGTTTGTTCGGTTTTTTAAATATTATATGAACTGTTTTACTATTATTCTTCTTTTGTAGGTCATTCTGATCGGATGGAAGGGTTTGGTTTGAGTTTTGGGATGACTGGAAACTGTGATGAAGCTGGTCTCGCTGAGTCTATTGAGTGTTATCGTGATATTGGTACCAATCAGCCACATTTCGATATAACCAAATGTACATCAGGTACAACCCCGGCTGAGATGAGAGCCCGGTTTATCTTCATTCGTCATCATAAGGTTCAATTTTTAAATTTCGCGGAGCTCAACATTCTTCTCGATTATTTCGACAGTTCAAACTGTAGCTCTACTGTATAGAATTTCCAGTCTTTTAGGATCGCTTTCTACGGTGTGCCATGTGCTATGAAAATCGTTGGCGTATTCACAAATATCAAGGATGTTAAGTTGGGCAGACAATTTTATTTGCCATGTCTTGACCGGAAGTTAACAAGAAGACACAACGATATCTATCATTCATTATCGAGACAGATTCAGCTTTACGGAAACTGCCTAGGATTACATAACGTACATCCACTTATCACCCCTTTCTGTACTATTTTCTGTCACATTTTCCTATAAAAATTTCTGTGCCCCTCTGTTAAAATAAATTCATTATTTTCCTATTTTATAACAAATTATTAATTAGAAGAAGAATTAAAAGTGACGACCTTTCACTAATTAGTGTAGCAACTTCAGGTTGAATGATGAATTAATATGAAATACCACATTCAATGAATCTAAAAAGGGACAATGATACCTGTACTTTGTTTTCTATATTTTGTATTATAGTTATGTTGATGTTTATTCTGCATGTATTATATATATAATATATAATATTTAATCTTTTCACACTATTATACTGTTTTTTTGTTTGTTATCGGCTTACAATGGGCGTATATGCAATAAATCTTAATCTTAATCTTAATCTTTACGTACGTATTTGTGATCACGGTTTAAGATCTGAAAGGATAACTGCGATTAGTCCACGATTAAGACGAGTTGTTTCAAAATATGAGGTGTATGATTTCAGCAAATTGTAAAGAAGTTGAGAACATGTAGATGTAAATATGGTTTTGAATAAAAAAATATCGTTTTTGTTTCATTTATTAATTAATTTTTAAAGGTTACAAAAAACCATGTTTGATATTTAATGATGGGACACCAGATTATAACAGATAAAATACAACAGAATCATAATGAAGAAAACATACTTTACTCTGATTTGAATAATATATTATATAAAATATATCACTGTCAGTTTCATAAATCACGAGACATATATCTGAAAAGAATAAAATCTAAATTTGTAAAACCAACTGCAATGAATAAATGGGAAACGGAACTAAACATTTTACTAAACCAAAAAGGTACTAGAGAAATATTTGAAAGAATTTTTTCTACCTGTCAAGACGAAAAAAACCCGAAATTTCCAATTTAAATTATTCAAAGGATAATACATGTATATACAAATTCAAAAAAGTTAGCTCCACCCTGTGTGATTTCTGTACTTCAACAATCAAACTGTCGATCACTTATATATTCAATACACACAAACACAAACTTTATGGAATAAGGTCAAAGATATTTTTAAAAAAATTATATTTTAATAAATTTAAATAAGAAGTCTATTACTTGAAAAAATAAAACCTTGGGAAGTTGACAATAGTACATAGTATCAATTTATAAATCACATGATATTTTGACCAAATATTATATCTTCAAATGTAAATACAACCAAAAATCATTTCACTGCAGTCATCGTCATTTGTGAACTCTATTGTATCCATAGAAATAGAAAAGTGTCAAACAAATCATGAAAAAATGGTACCTAGTTTATTAGGAGTTGAAACCAAGTCTTAATCCTTAGTTAAAATAATATATATATGTTACAGTCAATCTGTGAAATCAGCCATTTCATGAAATGCCTGAAATTTTTAGCCTTTTCATGAAATGACCAATTCATTCAGCCATTTCATGAAATGGTTAAATATTTCAGGCTTTTCGGGAAATGGCTAAAATATTGCTCCAGCCAATTCATGAAATAGCTAAAATCAAAATTCTTAGGGAAGAGCATGAGAATCAGGTGGGTTAATATATAAGAAGACTAATTTTAACAACATTTTTTATTTTTATAACAGTTTTGTACATTATTTAAACAACAAGAATAATAATAGCACATTAATAATATTCATGGAGTCATTTATTCTTACATGTAAGACTGCTGTGGCATCTACTATTGCACAATTTTCCAGCCTTAAAACACTTGCATCTGTTGGTTTGACATTGTTTTTTTCCATTTTCGGAATCGCATTGAAAAAAACCTTGCCCACCTGATGTGGATGCTTTCACAGCTTGGCGAAGTGTCACTCTACATTCTGTGTTCACATCACAATTACTTAGGAGCTTTTGTGGACATAAATCAAATTGATTTCTTGAATATTTGGAACTTATTAATCCAGACTTAACGGCAATGGTGTACATGTTTGTACATCACGATCAATGATCACACCAAGGATATTTCTAGGAATTTAAGGTTGTAATATTGCGGTTAAGCAATGTTACGAAAGCTAGGGTCACCCCTACCTCTGTCAACCATAGGTATAGGAATAGCAACATTGTCTCCTACTTTACCGGTCTTCAGTAGTACTCGTGATCTTTTTACCATTCTCTCCGCTTGGGACAACTGAGAATCACAAGTTTGAGGGTCTGCTGCCAACTTCAAGTCGGTGATTATCTGATAGTAAACGTTTCTGGGAATACTTTTGAAACAAAGCTTCTCTGAATTTTAGTTCAACAGTTGTCTGATCCGTTTCGTTGGTCTTAAGAAGTCAAAGTGTAATGAACATGCAGAAGCAAGTGATTTTATACCAATAATTAAATAACGGAACACAATG